CTGCTCAAGCAGGACACAAATAAATGGTTGTCCAGTCTCTTCTTAAAAGCCTCCAGTGATGGAGAACTCACAACTTCTGAAGGCCAGCTTTCCCACTGATTAATTGTTCTCGTTATCAGAAAATTGCTCCTTACTTCTAGGTTGGATCTCTCCTTGATAGGTTTCCATCCATTATTTTTTGTCCTGACCTTCAGGTGTTTTGAAGATTACGTTGATCCCCCGTTCTTTGTTGGCAGCACCTCTAATATTGGAAGACTGCTATCATGCCACCTCTAGTTCTTCTTTTCACTAGACTAGATATATATATACTGCAGATTACAGGAACGTATTTTATTTATGTTTTATTTATTTATTTTTGTCAATTGCTTACAAGATAATAGGTATCAGTAAAAACATAGTTATGAATACATGGATACATATAAGAAAAATAAAAATAAAAGAAACAATAGGACAGGGACGGTAGGCACGTTGGTGCGCTTATGCACGCCCCCTACAGACCTCTTAGGAAAGCGGTGAGGTCAATAGTAGACAGTCAAAGGTTAAAGTTTTGGGGGTTTGGGGAAGAAACCAGAGAGCCAGGTAGAGTATTCCAGACATTGACCACTCTGTTGCTGAAGTCATATTTCCTACAATCAAGTTTGGTGTGGTTTACCTTGAGTTTGTATCTATTGTTTGCTCTTGTGTTGTTATGGTTGAAGCTGAAGTATTCATTGACAGGTAGGACATTGCAATGTATGATTTTATATACTATACTTAGATCGGACCAAAGGCGGCATAATTCTAGGTTTTCTAGGTCTAGAATTTCGAGTCAGGTAGCATAAGGTATTCTGCAATGAGTATAGGAGTGGAGAACTCTTCTTGTGAAATATTCTGCCTTTTGGGTTTTTCAATTAAAGTGTATTTAATTAATCAGTGGAACAACTTGCCTCCAAAAGTTGTGAACGTTGCAACACTGGAAGTTTTTAAGAAGAGGTTAAACAACCATTTGTCTGAAATGGTATGGGGTTTCCTGCCTGAGCAAGGGGTTGGACTAGAAGACCTCCAAAGTCCCTTCCAACTCTGTTATTCTAATTCAATTCTAATGCTGAGCCACAAACAACTCCTTTTAAAAATGTCTAAACTTGCATTTGCACAAAATTGGTAAAGTGAAGATTCCGACTGAAGAGAATGTGATCAGGAAAATATTAGAATGTGCAGAAATGAATAAGCTAACACTGGCAACTAAAGAAAAGTAACAAACTGAATACTATGTGATATGGGAATTATTTTATCAATGGCTGGAGAATAAATATGAAAGTTAGAAATTAAAGAAGGCTAGCAAAAAATAGTAAACATGCGAAAAGAATTAAAAATGTTAAGATGGTGAATGTTATAAGAATTAGATATATTATGCATATTAGTATTAAGTAAGAATAGAGTATTAGCACTAAGCAATGAATATGTATAAATTATAATTGTTATCGCACAAGATATTTGTACCCAGATCACACACTGTTTAAATGGAAGATGGATTGTTTGTATAAAATAAAATAAAAAATATACAGATATAAAAAAAAGTCTAAACTTATGAATAGAATTAAAGGAAATCTGCTTATAGTATAAAGAACAAAGGTAGGACGGATGTAGAACAACATTGTGAAAGAAAGAAGAAAAACAAGCAATAAAATGTATCTACTTTTCTAGAGTAGAAGACTCCTAACCTTTTGTGCAGATAAGCTCACTTTTTAAACAATGAATTAAACCTTGGCTTTGCACCAAACCATGTTTTTTTCCTTGATAAAGAGCCAATCCTCAACGTTGGTGACTTTTGGATGTGTGGACTTTGACACCCAGAATTCCCCAGCCAACAAGTAAAAAAACTAAAACTCCATCTGAAATGCATCATTCCCCGTTTGTGACAATTCAGGCGCCATGCATCTAGAGCACTTCCAAATTTAGGGGATGTTGTCGACCTCTCCATATTAAACAACTTTAAACGTTGCATTCTCCTCAAGGACCTGGTTTGCCTTATAGGCGTAGACCTTGAGTTACGGCCACAATTTGAGCCCAAATTTCTGTTGCTAAGGGAGGCTTTGGAATTTTGTCACGTTTTACCGCCTTTCTTGCCAAGCTTCATTAAGTGAATCACTGCAGTTGTTAAGTTAGCGACATGGTTTGTTAAGGGGATCTGGCTTCCCCCATTGACTGCTTGACAGAAGATTGCAAAAGGCGATCTTTGGGATTCCGGGATGTTGCAACCGTCATAAATACGAGTCAGTTGCCAAGGATCAGACTTTGGATTGCATGACCATGCAACCGTCGTAAGTGTGAGAAACGGTCATAAGTCACTTTGTTCAGTGCTGAACTGTCACTAAAAACAAACTCTTGTAAAACAGGGACTATCTGTACAATCATGTCAAATCCAACAGGAGCTACCCTAACGAAATTTCAGCTCGTTGGCACCTCGAATCATAGCAAGGCTGGGTAACCATCTTGGTATGTTAGGCAAAACTTCACTTTATTCATTTGAGTTTAGAGTTCCCACGTGGTGTGATTCTCTTCCCCCATCGCATCATGAGAGCAGTCTTCCAATATTTGAGGGGCTGTCCCAGAGAGGAGAGGGATCAATTTATTTTCCAAGGCAGGTCAGACAAGGAATAATGGATGGAAACTGAACAAGGAGAGATTTAAATCTGGAAACAAGGAGAAATTTTCTGACAGTGAGAACAATCAACCCATGCAACAGAAATTGCCTTTGGAAGTTATGGGAGCTTCATCACTGCAGACCGAAGAAGAGATTGGACTGCCGTTGGTCAAGAAATGGTGTAGGGCAGTAGTGGCTAACCTTTTGGGGGTCCTGTGCCCAAAATTAAGTTGGGGATTATCTGTGCTGTATAAGGCAGATGCAACCAGAATGGTATTCTTATCATCTTTTCGTTAACCTCAGGGGCATTGTAGACCCAAGCTCCTCTCTTCTTCTTTTGGTGTAAACTTCAATATATAAAGAAATAAAATTCTTCCCAAATTCCAGGCTCTTGGTTGGAGGTGGGGAGGGGCTGACCCTGAACAGCTCCCCTCCCTCTGAATTCACCTATACCCACCACCCACCCCTTAAAAAAAAAGCTTTCTACCCACGGCTGGTCAGTACCTGAATGCCAACTGATCAATAAAGAAGAATTTTAAGTGTCGGAGGCTAGTTTACCGCCACAAGAATGGATCAGAAACTGGTCACTGGTGCTGAGAGCCCCAAATGTTTGCCTTGTGTGTGACCCTCTTGGTGTAAGATAAGGGATAGTTAAGGATCTGCTAGCACTTCCTGGTAGATCCAAAAGGAAGCATGACTCATTTATTGATCTTTATTGTGAAGCCACATTAACTGCATCTTGCGAGTCTGAAAGTACAGTTCTATCAATGTTTCCTTTACAGCTTGAGAATAGAATAGAATAGAATAGAATAACAGTTGGAAGGGACCTTGGAGGTCTTCTAGTCCAACCCCCTGCTTAGGCAGGAAAGCCCACACCACTTCAGACAACTAGGGACAGTCCCTTCTGACCCTCCCACTGTCCAGCAATGCTGTTTCTTCTCTGGCCATTTCCTGGGCAGGGTTTCCTTGCTGTGAACCCCAAGGTCTTCCCCACATACCATGACAAGACCTCATGAGCAAGGAGGAACAGGAAACAGGAGGAACCCAAATTAACCCTCAGCCCCCACCCCCACTCACCCCCCAATGAGGCAGTCTGTACAAGGACACCCAATGGCTAAAGCTAACCAGCTCTGTAATGTAGTTTGGTGTAGTGGTGAAGGTGCTGGCCTAGAGACCAGGCAGCTGGGAATTTAACAGATTAACAGAGTCGGAAGGAACCTTGTAGGTCATCTAGTCCAACCCTCCACAACGTCTGCAAGAAAACAAGCTCCCTTTGTGTCGCTGCCTGTCTCAAACCTGGGATTCTCTTTGCTCATTTGTGGCTCGGAGGCCTCGTTAGAAACACTACTCCTGTGTTCACACAATGCATTTAACCTGCTTAACGAATTAACCCTCTTTTTGGATTTGCACTGCGTATCAAAACGTCAGCTGACTAAACAGGCTGGGGTAGGAGGTGACCCAAGGAGCCCCAGATTTCGGTAACCAAGTTAGGTGCGTTGTGGGATCACAGCCCACATCGTTTTGACTTTCTAGGGCAGGTACACTTGATTTCACGAAGGGCCGCATCAGGGTTTGTGTTTGACCTTGGGTGGGCCAGGGTGCGCATGGCCAGGGTGCGCGTGGCCAGGGTGGGCGTGGCCAGCTTGACATCACTAGCATCAGGGGCACTTGTGGTGGCCCTAGCGCTCCCATTTTCCCTGGCAGAGGTACTGTGGGCCGGTCCTTTGCTGTTTCCAAGGCGACCCACCGGGCCAGATCCAGGAGTGGACTTCAAAAATTTTTAGCAATGGGTTCTCTGCCCCGATTCAGTGGTGGTATTCTATCAGTTCGGCCCAGTTTTGCCGAGCTGGTAGCAGCGATGAGCAGCGGAGACCGAACCACGTTTCTCCGTCGCTCTGCCTCCAGGCGGGCGAAAACATTTCTCAAGCTTTCGGGAGGGTCCATTTCCGGCCTTCCTGAACTTCCGGGAGGCCCGTTTTTAGCCTTCCCTGAGCCTCCTCACACACCCTACACTTACCCGCATCCAAAGCGGGCCACGTGGGGACTCCTGGGAGGGGAGGGAGGGACCAGCCAGGAGTGGGTTTTGGGAGTGCGCCAAACTGTGCAGAATCTTAGCTAGGGGCTCTCCTGAATCTCTGCGAACCCCCAGCAGCCCACCCCTGGCCAGATCATATGGGCTGGATCCGATCTCCACGCTTTGAGTTTGACGCCGCTTTTCTAGGGGAAAGAGACAAACTTTGGGGCTCGCGTCTCTCTGTAGGGTTCCCATGTTGGGTTGACATTCCCTCTTGATCTCTGCACGAAGGTAGACCAAGCCATCTTCTCCTGACCTCCCATGGCAGCGCCTTTGACCCACTGCTTTCTCTCTTCTCCCCAGATGTATGGACGCTACACCCAAGACCTGGGAGCATACGCCAAGGATGAAGCGGCTCGCGTCCGGCTGCAGCAGGAGCGCTGGAAATTTTCCCCGAAGGAGCGGTTCCGTCCTTCCGAGTTTCTGGAGTACGACCACGGTCGCTGTGCCTGTTGCCGGAGTAAGTAACTTGTTGTGGGCTGAGCATGCCTCTTGCCAGGCCTAAACCCTGTGCGTTTGCATCGACTGGAGCCGTGCAGTGGTTAGAATTCAGTACTGCAGGCTACTACTTCTGCTGGCTGCCAATTGCCTGCACTTCGGCAGTTCAATTCTGACCCGCTCAGCTTTCCATCCTTTCGAGGGCCCTAAAACGAGGACCTGGGGGAACAAATTTTTTGATCTGAGAGGGCTGTAAAGCACTGTGAACCGGTATACAAGTGCTATTGCTACCAGCAGCCTCTTTGAATGAGAGCAATGGGGGGAAAAGATGGAGAGAAAGGATCAATTCTGTATATTGCTGGGTACAAGATTGACCTATTTTCTAAAGCCCCCGAAGGCCAGACAAGGAATAAGGGATGGAAACTGATCCAGGACTGATTCAACCTGGAAATAAGGAGGGATTTTCTGACAGGGAGAACAATCCACCCATGGAACAGAAGTTGCCCTCGGAAGTTGTGGGAGCTTCATCCCTGGAGGCTTTCAAGAAGAGACTGTCAGAAATGGTGTGGGGTCTCCTGCTTGGGCGGGAGGGGGGGCGGGGTTGGACTAGATGACCTACACGGTCCTTTCCAACTCTGTTGTTCTGCATTTTGTATGTCAATCCATCGTCGGGGAAACGAGGGTTTAACATGTTCAGTGAACTCATCCTTTGTTTAGGCTTCTGGGTTTCCATGTGCTAATTTTGTCCTTTGCCGTGGGCATGTAAATAAGCGGTTTGGATTACATTGTTCCGTGGCTTCCTTGATTGACAGGCGCAAAATGCATCAGTTCTGTGAAGCAGGTTGGGAAGGGGGAGAACCAGAATTAATTCGGTGCAATTAAAATATCTGTGTTCGGGGTGTGTGTGTGTGTGTGTGTGTTCCCAAAGGTGCTTTTTCAAAAGGCAACGGGGGGGGGGCTTTGTTTTTCCTTGAAGACGTTTTGCTTCTCATCCAAGAAGCTTCTTCAGTTCCGACTGAAGAACTGACCGGAACAGTCAGAACCGAAGAAGCTCCTTGGTTGAGAAGCGAAACGTCTTCAAGGAAAAACAAAGTCCAGTTGCCTTTTGAAAAAGCACTTTAGGGGCAACCATGACCTGGATCAGTGGTTGGCAACCGGTGGGCCGCAGCCCACTGGTGGTCCGTGAGAAAATTTCGGTGGTCCGCCAAGAAATGTCACCCCCACCCCCCAGAGCACCCCCTGCAAAGCAATTAATCCAGGCTTCGTGGGAACACAAGGCTGCACCGCCCACATGGCCCGCGGGAACAATCCCCGCCCACTCATTCCTTACCTGGCTAATTTGCCTGCTAAGTTGCTATTTTTCCTTTTTCCGACCATCATCTGTTCTGCTGTGCTGGGAGATTTAGATTAGCTAGGAAGCAGGAAATCATTGGATTTCTTGATTTCTAGCTAATCTTTAGATCTTTGGATCTGCTTAAAGAGGAAGAAGAGGAACCTTCCTTAGGACTGAAGCTTCTATTTGTCAGTGCAGACTCAGGTAGCCAATGGCAGATAGACGGATCTCTGAATGAATTTGTGATTCTGTGAGCGTCTCTCTCTCTCCCCCCTCCCCCTCTCTCTCCCTCTCCCTCCTCCCTCTCTCTCTCCCTCTCTCCTCTCTCCCTCTCCTCTCTCCCTCTCCTCTCTCCTCCCTCTCTCCTCCCCCCCTTCCCTCTCTCCCCCTCTCCCCTCTCTCTCTCCCCCCCTCTCCTCCCTCCCTCCTCCCTCTCTCCCCTCTCCCTCCCCTCTCTCTCTCCCCTCTCCCTCTCCCCCCCCTCTCTCCTCTCTCTGTCTCTCTCCTCTCCCTCTCTGCTCTCTCTCTCTCTCTCTCTCTCTCTCACACACACACACACACCAATGTCAGCAAGCCACCGTCAGTCCAGTGGTCCCCGGGATTTAAAATTATGAGTTTGGTGGTCCCTGAGGTCCAAAAGGTTGGCGACCCCTGACCTGAATGACTGAGAATCTCCGTAGGATGAATGTTCTGGATATCACGTGTTTGCTTGGAAAGGGGAGTGGCATGTCCCCCCCACCCCCCCAAAAAATACCTCCCTTCCTGACCCCATATCGTTTGACGTGCTGCCATTTATCTATCATGACTCTAAATCAAGAGGTAAGAGGTTAAGCATATTGTCTGAACCAACCAGCAGCGTAGCTTTCCTTGGGCACAAGGTAAGGAACGTGGTTCATTTCAACGACCGTTTTATTCAGGCTCAGAGAAGCCACTCCTCGCAAGTCTTTCGCACATTGCTGCCGTCAAAGGAAGGATTGTGCCGGCAGAATTGAATCCGACACCCTGCGGATATATAGGATTACAATCCTCTTTGTCCCCAGTTTAATGCAGATTAACCATTCTGGTCTGGGAGAACGGGAGTGGTGGCCCGGCCGGACGTTGGGAAATTGGCCCTGTGTACGGAGAAAGAAATGCAGGCATGAGGAAAACTGTGTGGTTGTGTGCATACAGTCCTTGGGAGGCGGACACCAAAAAGTCACGTGAAGTGCAGTGGTGGGATTCAAATTTTTTTTACAACTGGTTCTGTGGGTGTGGCTTGGTGGGCGTGACATGGCTTGGAGGGCGTGGCAGGGGAAGGATAGTGTAAAATCCCCATTCCTTCCCCACCCCACTAACCTGCTTTTCAGCTCCATTCTCCTGTGCAGGGCAACCAAAGAAGATCCATCCCATCAGCTGGGACTCAGGAGGTGGAGATTAGATAGGGGAGGGGCCAGTCAGAGGCGGTATTGGCCAGTTCTCCAAACTATTCAAAATGTCCGCTACCGGTTCTCCAGAACTGGTCAGAACCTGCTGAATACCCACCTCTGGTAAAGTGTGTTGGGGAATCCTGAATTGTGAACCAACTGAAAGAGCTTCTTCTCCTCAAAGGGGGAGGCTTAAAACCGAGTATACAGAATAACAACAAAGTTGGAAGGAACCTTCAAGGTCTTCTAGTCCAGCCCCCTGTTTAGGAAACTCTGTGCATTTCAGACAAATAGTCATCCAGTTATTCTTAAAAACCTTCATTAATGAAGCATTCACAACTTCTGGAGGCAAGTAGTTCCACTGGTTAATTGTCCTCACTGTTGGGAAATGCTCTCCTTAGTTCTAGGTTGAATCTCTCCTTGATCAGTTTCCATCCATGGCTTCTTCTCCTGCCTTCAGGTGTTTTGGAGAATGGCTTGACTCCCTCTTCTT